TTGATTTTCATATGCCCTGTTCTAAAGCGCCCGCGAGAGAAATATGTCTGGAAGATTGGTACTGATGCTGAAGGCAAACAATGAAATCTGCTGTAGCTCCCTGCTGTTCTGACAGCCCAAGGTTTTAGAATTCAGGTGCCAGCACACCCAGTTACATGGAAAGCTTAGAAAGCCAGGGTGTTGCTAAATAAAACTTTTTAAAGTGTGCAACCATTAAAATGATTCATTTTAGGCAGAACGATAGAGTAGCTTTAGAATATTTAAAGTTTTTATGTACTTTATTGTGGATTTTAGTAACTCATATTGCAGGAGCAAGGATTATACTGTACCACATGAAAAATAAAACCTTTTACACCTAGCTTCAAACATCTATAAAGATCTACATTTTGAGTAAAGGCATTTATCAAGTCACTCCTCTGCAAGACAAAGAAAGAGCAGATAAATACCCAAAATTTCAAACTTTCATGACCTCAGACTTAATAAGGGACAGAAAATGAGCACATTTCAGTTGTCAGATAATGTAGCATGGATGTGTATGACAGATGATGGCTGTGTTTTCAGTTTGATTTTCTCAGCTATCCTGCTGCTGTCAGGCAGTATAGGAACAGACAACGTATGAGTAAGCTGACCATAGGTGAGAGAATGAGAACATTTCTCAAGTAAACTGAAGTGATGTACTGTAGCTTATATAGCCCTCAGTCATGGTCTAGTGTGACACATGGCTGGTGTCAAAAGAATTTAACTCATACTCTGGTTCAGAGGCAGAGAGAACAAAGTCAGTGCTTGGCTGTGCATGAGGTAACCCTAGAAAAAAAAAATTCATGTTATAGTATTTAAACATAACATTCTAATAGGCTGATTCTGGTTTCTTAATGACACCTGCTTCTTGTTGGTACTGTTGTATGGCTTGGTTTGCTTTTAATGAAGGGATTTAACGTGATTTTACTTCTCGTACAATGATTTCTCAATTTCACAAGAGTGTGTTTTCTGTTTCTTCCTCAAGAAAGAAAAGGTCTTGGAACTTTTGAGGGAAAAACCAGTATTCTGAGATGCTTATGAGCAGCATATGTGTTTCTGAGTGTGACCACGAGCCATATGATGATGATGATGATGATGATAATTCCTTACACTTATATACAGTAGCACTTTTCTGGACACTCCACTCCACCCCCACCAGTGTGCAGCCCCACCTGGATGATGCTCCAGTCCGCTCCCCACACACCAGCTCTCAGTGGGGAGGAGAGCAGAGTGATGGAGCCAGTTCAGAGATGGGGGTTATTAGGAGGCCATGAGTGGTAAAGGCCAGGGGGAAATTTGGCCACAATGTAGGAGTAACACCCCTACTCTTTTTAAGAAAAGCATTGGAATTTTTAATGACCACAGAGAGTCAGGACCTCGGTTTTACGTCTCATCCGAAGGACGGTGCCTTTTTACAGTACAGTGTCCCCGTCACTATACTGGGGCATTAGGACCCACATAGACCGCAGGGTGAGTGCCCCCCCTGTCCCACTAACACCTCTTCCAGCAGCAGCCTCAGCTTTCCCAGGAGTCTCCCATCCAGGTACTGACCAGGCTCACACCTGCTGAGCTCCAGTGGGATTCCAGGATTTTTTTCTTCTACATAAAGAATTTAAAATCTACATTGCACCAGCTGGACAGGGCCAGTTCAACAGAACTGGTAATATCATTCATTTCTTTCCACATTAAAACCAGGTTAAGACTATTCAAGAAAGGTGAACAAGAAGGAACAAAATCAGACATGTTCACAACATTTTCCAATAGGTACATTGTTTTTCTGATTTGGCACACTGGCATGGTGGGCCTTTTTCTAATGTTTAGTCTCCTGTTGTACAACATCCTAAGTAATTTCCAGAAATAAAAGAGATTGATTGTCAAGTATTCCACGTACGCACAGAAATGTTAGCCAACAGTCCTCTAACCTACAGATACAAGAGTCATATTACAAAGTGAATTATAAAACTGCGCACTTTTTTTTTTCCTTTTCGTATTTTTAAATTATTGCTTTGAACGAAACACACGGGCATGTGACTTGACAAGAAAAAAAACCCTCGTGAAGAGAAATATACAGAGGAATTCAGGCAAACTTGACAGAGCAGCGCGTTGCCACAATTATGTACAAAACTGTCCTACTGTAAAATGCATGTTAATGGTGCATTTTCCAATGCCATTTTGTTTGACATCTTTTGTGTTCTTGGCCAAAACAGTAGCATTTCGATGATAAAAGGCATCACAACATCCATCACGTCAGGGTGACTTTGCAAAACCTCCTAGTTGTAACCTGTAATCGCAGAATTACAGTACTTAAAACAAACCTTCTAACGTATTAATGGAGCTTTAACTAGCCAGGCTAGAGCTGACCACTAGTAATTGTTCGTTTCATAACAAGAGTGAAACTGATGTATGCTTATACTTTTCATACAACATAAGATGTAAATATGTTGTCAGGCATTTACTGTATACTGTAATATGTCTTTTAACTTTTAAAGAGTAGAATGTTCAGATTGTGTTTCTTTGACATACTGTAATGCTAAAATTTACCAACGCTGTCAGGATTAGGTTATGAAATAATTATGCCCTTGATAATAATTATGCGGTGGCCCTGTGGCTCAGGATCTGCGCCTGTGACTGGAAGGTTGCCGGTTCAAATCCCGCAGCCGGCAGAGGAATCCTACTCCGTTGGGCCCCTGAGCAAGGCCCTTAACCCCAACTGCTCCAGGGGCGCTGTACAGTACAATGGCTGACCCTGCGCTCTGACCCCAAGCTTCTCTCCCTGTCTATGTGTCTTATAGAGAGCAAGCTGGGGTCTGCGAAAAGACAAATTCCTAATGCAAGAAATTGTATAGGGCTAATAAAGAAACATTAAACATTAATAATAATAATGATAACATCACTTTATTAACCCTTTACAATTTCTTGCATTAAGATTTATCTTTTTGCACACCCTAGCTTGCTCTCCATGAGACACACAGACAGGGAGAGAAGCTTGGGGTCAGAGCACAGGGTCAGCCATTGTACTGTACAGCACCCCTGGAGCAGTTGGGGTGAAGGGCCTTGCTCAGGGGCCCAATGGAGTAGGATTCCTCTGCCGGCTGCGGGATTTGAACCAGCAACCTTCCAGCCACAGAGCCACCACACTGCCCCTTTACCAGTAGTGCGACCATAATGTCCCATACGATGACAATATTACTGTTGTGTGTTACTATCTAAGCGAATTGTGAACAAAATGTCATTTACAATGGTGACAAGGTGACCCTTTTCTACACCAGGGTATTTTACTGGAGTCAATTTGAATGGTGCTTTGCTCAAAGATACAGAAGCAATGTCTTGAACCCTGACCCTCAGTTAAAGCCATTCACCATGGAATGCTTTTGAATAAAACTCAAAGCATTGCAGTTAAAGCTTTTGAAACTGGTTTTGTGATTTCCAGAGCATTGTCAACTGTTTCACTTCTTCTTCATTCCACTCTCGAGAAAGAGTAAAAAGTAAACACTTTCGAGACCTCAATCACGCAGCATGTACACTATAACACATGAATGCCACATTTTCAGAAAATGTGCATTCGTCTCCCCTCCTGTGTGTATTCGGACTTTTTCACAACAAGAAAAAGAAATTGTTTCTGATTCTGGCTTCCACCTTCCGTAATTAATTCCAAGAGCTACAGCGTCTGGAGGTTTTGTTCATTTATTTTTTTAATGGATTCGGATCAATCAATCACGGGAAAACAAAACAACGGATTCTCACCTTTGCCTTTCTCTTCATTTTAATTGGTATATTTCTGTATTTGATAGAAGGAAATTAATTAAAACGTAAAGGAAAATGTCATTTGTTAGTGCAGTTGCGGTGCCTTTGTTAAATAATTTGATTTTATCCTTAGGGAGTACATCAGTATATTGAAATGGAACTGAGGAAAGCTTTAGTTACTTATTAACTTAACCAACTGAGCAAGCAGGAAACCTCCGACAGCCTGCCCTGCAGCTGAGGTACTTCTCCTGACAGGACGGGAAACTGTTCTCACTGGGGAAGAAGTGGATCCACGAAAAAAAAAAAGGCTCAAAATGAGAACCGATGAATTTGAAATGAAATTACAGCAATCAGTCTTTTTGTGAACGTTCTACCAGTTCTGGTTATTTTCTTTACAGATCACTGCACTGTGCATACAGTACACTCTGCAACAAAAAGCCAGTGAGTTTGGAGAGAGTAAATACTGATATTGTCTAAAAGGAAAATGATATCCCATTTACAAACACATGTTAACAACTGACATAACAAATGTGCTGTACATTTATATTTTTGATAGCAGACCACAGTACATCTGGACAGTGTCACCACAGGTGTGCTTTGAGTATACCATGCATTCACATTTGCAGGGGATTCCCATGATCAATATCAATGGTCCCCATTCCTGTTCTAGGAAAGCCCCAATGCCGTTAATACAGGTAGTTTTCCGGCACTCATCTTGGAGAGCCCCAGTCCTGTTAGTAAAGAAGTCTCCAACCCCAATCCTGGAGAGCCCCATTCAGCTCAGTACAGGAGTCTCCAGCCCTGGTCCTGTACAGCCCCAGTCTGCTCAGTTC